TTTTCCTTCAAGCCTTACTACTGCCTTCGGCCACTGGGAGCCAAGAAAAATGCCACATTCTTTTGAATATCAGGGACCAGGTGACTAATTTGTTCTTCTTACAACAAGAAAGTCCTGATGCTTGGTCATTTAGATACCCAGCACTGCCAGAGGAGTCAGCAGAGAATTTATATCCCTGTGTAAGGTCAAAACCATGGCTTGTTAATCAGGGCTAAATCTTATTGTTTTTTGTGGCCAAATGGAAGGCAATTATAAGCCGCAGGAAAGACTGCAATTTTGCTTTAAGACAGGGGTGCTCAACCCGTGCTGGCAGGCCACCTCAAACCAGGTAAGCACATGCCCGGGGTCAGTAACTCGCTCTCGCAATCTGAGCTTGCTGACCCGCCATACCAGAGAATCAGAGTGCGTCAATCCAACACTGCAGGCAGCCATAGATGTAGCAGAAGCCACATTATCTGAAGTGCCAAATCCTGTCCCAGGCGGAGTGATACCAAGTGCACTTCACCTGGGACATTTCTAGCAGTCTAGAGAGCAATGGCAGCAGAAGCTGAAAGAGGAAAACAAGGTCAGTGTATTAAACACCTACACTTTTGCAGTGGGCATACAAACACCTATAAAAAGGGTAAAAACTGGCTTTCCTGCAGGTTTGCTGCACTGCCATAGATTTCTATTATGTCCTGTGGGTTTGGTGCACTTTCTGAATGTAGGAGTTGTGGTGCACTTTTAAAAAGTTCACCACACCCATAAGATATAATAGAAGTCTATGGCAAAGTGTAACTAAGACGCAGGTGCACAGCACAAGTGGTGCGGGTAAATCATTACACATCAGTATGAGAGCAGCCTTATGAGAGATTTACGGTTTGGGGGGGGCAGTAAAACCACATAGTTGAGATATGTTTTTTAAAGTCACCACCCCCCAAACACTGGTGTTGCATCAGGGGTTGCACTGGTGACCCCATCGCATGCTCCAGGAGGGTCATGTGGCCTTTATGTCACATTGTATTTTACACTTGGACAGCCTACACCAGTCCTCTCCACTTTCCTCCTGCAACCACTGAAAGCAGACTACTTCTCTCCTCTCCCTCCCGCTTACATTTCAGCAGCTGCAGGAGGAAAATGTTCATTATGCTATTCAAAATAAAAAATCTAAAATTCTGAAACATTTTATTTCATTGTGGCCGATGACTGGTTACCAAATACTTAAGCGTCCTTCGCTCTTCAAAAGGCAAAGCACCCCTGCTTTAAGGCTTCAGTACTCCTTGAGCATATGAGGCACCATTGTTGCGGTTTCTGTAGGGGTTGTCATCTTCTGCAAGGCTGCAATTAAGGCTACTTCTGTCACACTGTCACAGCACGGGCTTGACACAGTAGGAAAAGAAAAACAATTAGCTAGCGCTTAACCTACTAGTATGTTTTTGGGTTGTGGAAGAAAGCCAGATTTACCCACAGGTAGCCTCCACAGGTAACCTACACAAACACAAGAACATCATACAAATGACACCTACACAAGCACAAGTACATAATACGAACTACAAGCAATGCTAGCAGTGGAAAAGGTAAAAAAAAAAAAAAAAAAAAGGAAACAGACTTAAAGCTGCACTTTGACAACAAAACACATAGGGTGGGGCTTCCGGTGACGTCACTTTTGCTGATTAGAATGCAGGTGGAACACAAACTGGCATTCCTGGTTTCATTTTCTATTGGAGTGTATTTTTAATATGAATGTAAGTGCAATACCACTTTCCAATGAATTTAAAATTAAAAATACTACACTATATGCAGTTTTTCCTACTCTCTCGATAGTTACGCTGAGTATACAGCGAGTATAAGTATTGAACATGTCACCATTTTTCTATGTAAAAATATTTCCAAAGGTGCTATTGACATGAAATTTTCACAAAGGTAACAACCCATGCAATCCATACATACGAAGAAACCAAAACAAACAAGTTTTAAATTAAGTTATGTGTAATCAAATGGAATGACACAGGGAAACAGTATTGAACACACTAACTGAAATGTATTTAAGTACTTCATACAAAATCCTTTGTTGGCAATGACAGCTTCAAGATGCCTCCTGTATAGAGAAACTAGTCGTATGCATTGTTCATGTGTGATTTTGGCCCATTCTTCCACACACAGTCTTCAAATCTTGAAGGTTCCACGGGCCTCTTCTATGAACTCTGATCTTTAGTTATTTTCATAGATTTACTATTGGATTTGTTAGGTGATTGGTTGGGCCAGTCTAGCAGCTTTATTTTCTTTCTTTGAAACCAATTGAGAGTTTCCTTGGCTTTGTGTTTTGGGTTCGTTGTCTTGCTGAAATGTCCACCCTCGTTTCATCTTTATGATCCTGGTAGATGGCAGAAGATTTTTATCAAGAATGTCTTGGTACATTTTTCCATTCATCCTTCCTTCAACGATATGAAGTTTGCCAGTACTGTATGCTGAAAAACAGCCCCACACCATTATGTTCCCACCTCCAAACTTCACTGTTGGCATGGTGTTTTTGGGGTGATGGGCAGTACCATTTGTCCTCCAAACATGGTGTGTATTATGGCATCAAAAGAGTTAAATTTTGGTCTCATCTGACCAGACTATAGCCCCCCCAGTATTTCATAGGCTTGTCTAAATGTTTTGCAGAAAACGTTAAACAAGCTTCAACATGCTTTTTCTTCAGCAATGGAGTCTTGTGTGGTGAGCGTGCATACAAGCCATGGCGGTTGAGTGCATTACTTATTGTTTTCTTTGAAACAACTGTAGCTGATAATTCCAGGTCTTTCTGAAGCTCTCCACAAGTGGTCCTTGGGTGTTGGACAACCCTTCTGATAGTTCTTTTCACTCTTCTGTCACACATCTTGCGAGGAGCACTTAGTTGTGGCTGGTTAATGAGGAAATTATATTCTTTCCACTTCCGGATTATGGCCCCAACAGTGCTCAATGGAACATTCAGAAGTTTAGAAATCCTTCTGTAACCAATGCCAACAGTATGTTTCGCAACAATAAGGTTGCAAAGGTTTTGAGAGAGCTCTTTGCTTTTACCCATCATGAGATGTTTCTTGTGTGACATCTTGGTAGTTAGACACCTATTTATAGGTAATCAGTTGAGACTAAACCAGCTGATATTAATTTGAACTGACAAGGGGCAGGATTGCTTTCAATTACTGATATATTTTAAACTGGTGTCTTGGCTTTCCATGCCTTTTTGCACCTCCCTTTGTGGTAAAATTTCATGTCAACAGCACCTTTTAGAAATATATTTACCGAGAAAAATGGTGACGTGTTCAACACCTATTTTACTGGCTGTATCTAAAGGCACTGAGGCATCGCAGAGACATTAACTGCTTCCCGACTGCTACAGTTCGGCAGGGCTGCGCAAAATCAAGTATAGATACATGATTTTGTATTTTCGGGTAGGGGGCATGTGTGCGCGCACCGCACTACCTGAGCCACCATTGGCAGCTACAGCTGTCAATCACCGGGTCCCGGCCGGAAATTCTCCTCCGGCACCCGGCGATTGCCAAGGAACACTCACAGGGGAGAGGTCTGTATGTAAACAATACAGATTTATCCCCTGTCAGCACCAGCACGCTGCTTTGTATTGCTCTGCATAGCATAGCAAAACAAAGCAGCATGCTTACAAAGTAAAGCACACACACAGACAAAATAGTAAAAGAGCACACAGTTAACCCTTTGATCACCCCAGTGTCATTAGTACAGTGTCAGTGATTTTTATTAGCACTGATCACTGTATTAGTGTCACTGGGAATGTCAGTGACAGTTCCCCCCCAGTATCAGAATGCCCACCGCAGTCCCGCTATAAGTTGCTGATCGCCGCCATTACTAGTATAAAAAGAAAAAATTCCCAATATATATACCGCCATTTGTAAATGCTATAACTTTCATGGAAACCAATTAATTTACACGTATTGGGATTTTTTTCAGCAAAGACATGTAGCAGAATACATTTTGGCCTAAATTTATGACAAAATTTGATTTTAAAATTTTTTTTAACTGGACATGTTTAATAGCAAAAAGTCAAAAATATTGTTTTTTTTTCTCAAAATTGTCAGCCTTTTTTTATAGCGCAAAAAAATTAAAAACGCACAGGCAATCAAATCAAAAGACGTAATTTTCATTTTGGAGGGCAAGTGGTGAGAGGAAAAACATCCAGTGGCCACCACTTAAAGGGACCAGGGACAACCATTTGCTCCACACATGATACATTGATGGAAAAGAGCTATTTGACTTCGTTATAATTAGAAGTCACCAACATTCTGTGAGTGCAGTGTGTGTATTTTCTTGAAGACACAGAAGAGCGCACATAGAGTTGGGCACAATGCATGATTCTTTTATGGATTGATGACACAAGATGACTTAATGGTTTATGCACAAGAGCACTTTTTTCAAGAGTTATATATTGAGTTTATGTTAATGGTAGCTCTGTTTTCATCCTGGAGGACTTTTATCTATGACATGGACATTTACATCTTATAGACAGAAGCTTCCTATCTTTGGTCACTTTATTAGTTTTGGTAAAAATACACACATAAAACAAAAGAAAATGAAAGAGCGGGCGATAGGCGAAAGAAACAAAAGAGTAGTTAGAAAGGCTATGAGAAAAAAAATAATAAAATAAAAAGTGAATGCAGCACACAGTGGAACCCAGTCATAGAGCAGGGAGAAAAGGAACAAAGAAAGGGGAAATTAAAGGTGACAGGCAGTAAAAAAAAAAATCATGTCATTTCATGTTTTAAATCTACAGGGAAGGAAGTGAGAGAAAATCTCCTTAATTAGACACAGATGGCAAAGGGAAAAAACTGCCAGCTGTGTAAACGCTACCCTACTCAATCCAAAAGGAAAAAACATTGTTTGGGCTTTAGCTACAATTGGGGGTTGATTTTCTAAAACTACAGAGTGCAAAATCTGGTGCAGCTCTGCATAGAAACCAATCAGCTTCCAGATTTACCTGACAAAACGTAATTGAGCAAACTGAAGTTAGAAGCTGATTGCCAACCATGCATAGTGGCACCAGATATTGCAATCTCTAGTTTCAGTTAATCAATCCTTTTTAAAGTGTTACTAAACCGAAGACCCTGCACTCACTATATCTGGTCCCCCAAAATCCTGCACTCACTATATCTGGTCCCCCAAAATCCTGCACTTACTATATCTGGTCCCCCAGGACCCTGCACTCACTATATCTAGTCCCCCAGGACCCTGCATTCACTATATCTGGTCTCCCCCCGGACCCTGCATTCACAATATCTGGTCTCCCTGTACACTGCATTCACTATATCTGGTCTCCCCAGACCCTGCATTCACTATATCTGGTCTTCCCGGACCCTGCATTCACTATAGCTGGTCTACCCAGACCCTGCATTCACTATATCTGGTCTCCCCTGACCCTGCATTCACTATATCTGGTGGTCTCCCCTAACCCTGCATTCACCATATCTGGTCTACCCTGACCCTGCATTCACTATATCTGGTCTCCCTGGACCCCGCATTCACTATATCTGGTCTCCCCGGACCCTGCATTCACTATATCCGGTCTCCCTGGACCCTGCATTCACTATATCTGGTCTCCCCGGACCCTGCACTCATTATATCTGATCTCCCACAGTACGCAAAACATGGAAGTGCAATTATTTTAGTAAATATAAACTGCTTCTCATCAGCAGTTAGAGCAGTCTTTTGACTTCTATCAGTGTCTGACCGAGCACTAGTTAAAACTTGTAGGAGTTTTCATTCTGCTCTGACTGTCTTATGAGGCTGCATGACCCTCAACTCTCTGTCTTGACAGTGCTGATTGGCCCTGTGCTGATCACTTGCACTCTCCCAGAGAAAAAAAAAACGCTCTAGCAATACGCACTAAACTGAGCATGTGCAGAGTGACTCCTAGAGCTCTGTACTATCAGAAGATAAACTGGGGACAGTAGAAGAAGGGGAGGATGAGAGAAGACAGCATCAAACAGCCTTTTTACAACAATGTGGAGGATTAACCACTTAGGTTTCACAGTGAGTACAAGTGTGCTTTACTGCTATTACAGGCTGATTTTACTGTTGTGGGTTTAGTAACATGTCCAAGTCCAAAAGATATCTGAAACAACAGGTCACGTTCTAGTGTTCCTTGCATACATGCATCTCTTATTCAGAAGGAATGAATGCATAAGACACAACCTACTTTCTCTTTGAATGTACTCTCACTTTTTGTTTTCCTAAAAATCATTTCTCTTTTGACAATTTTTAACTTTAAAATCAAGTATTCTTCATTGCACCATCTGATCCACATCTTTATGTCACACAGAGAAACATATAATGTATACCAAGCTTTTTACTATCAGGAGTTAGATTTTTTTTTTTATGATATCTACAGTAATGAACTGAAAGTTTTTTGTCCGTACACCAATGTTCAACTTGAAACTGTTCAATGCATACTTGAGTATTAAAAAAATATAAAGATCTATTAAAGTGGATGTAAGCCTAACAAACAGTTGCATTCTGATCAATTTACAACACTAACCTACCGAGATTAATACTGTGCTACTGTGCACCAGTTACTATGCCCTCAAAGCATATAATATTCAACAATGAGTAGTACCAAAGGATAGTGAGGACATCAACAAAAATATTGTTTAAGGCGGTTTAAGGCATAAAATTTATTATTTTTGTTATTATTAATATTAAGTGGTTGTCAAGACAAAAATGACAAAAAAAATTTAAAAAAGAAAAAGAAAAACCACAAAAAAACATGCAGTACATCTCTGCAACATATGCACAATTCTACCCCACCCCCCAGGTTTTACCCTTTTAACCCTTTCACAGGTATTTTTGCCTCATGCTTGGTTAAAACCCCAAATAAAGTTTTTTTTTTTCCGAAAAGAGAGACCCTTGAGAATAAAATGGTGGTTGTTCTGATCTTTTAGATCACATAATATTAGTGCAACATTTTGTCGAGTGCAAATTTAAAAAAAAATACAATAACAAGTTAATTGTAGCACTCACAAAGATAATATATTTCCCATTTTTTGTTGGTAAAAAAAAAAAAAAAAAAAAAGACAAGGCTGCACTTGAGTAAATAGATACACAACATATCAAGCCCTAAAATTGTGTGTACTCTTAAACAGCAAGAAACTTTGGTACCAAAATTTGTCCATAGGTAACGCTTTAAAAGCTCTGGCAGGTCATCACTTATTACTATCTGCTGCGTGCCAACGTTTTTCATACATGTACATTTGCATATAATTGTGCATGGGGTGGGGGGGTTAAGTGCTTCAATTTACCTTTGATTTCTACACTTTTTTTTTTTTTTACTTAACTTTATTGCAATCACAAAGCCCCTCACCCTAATAGCATATTTACAGCCTTTCTTTAACTACTTGCCCTCCAGAAGATTTAACCCCCCCCCCCCCCCCCCCCATGACCAGGCCATTTTCTGCTATTCGGCACTCCGCTATTTCAACTGGTAATTGCACGGTCGTGCAATGCTGTACCCAAGCAAAATTTATGTCCTTTTTTTCACAAAAATAGAGGTGATATTTTGGTGAAATTTGATCACTTCTGCAGTTTTTCCTTTTTGTTTTTTAAAAATATCTAATAAACTCAAAGTTAGTCATAAATGTAGGCCAAAATGTATTCTGCTACATGTTTTTTGGTAAAATAAAATCCCAATACATGTACCGTATATTGATTGGTTTGTGTGAAAGTTATAAAGTCTACAAACTATGGTATAGATATAGAATTTACACAGCTTTTACTTTCTGACTGTCCATCACATTTGTTGAGGTGCTAAAATGCCAGGTCAGTACAACCCCCCCCCCCCCCCCAAATGACCCTTTTTTGGAAAGTAGCTACCCCAAGGATTTTGCAGAGAGGCATGTTGAGTCTGTTTTATTTTTTGCCACAAATTGTTTGAAAATTACTTTTTTATTTACACAATATTGTCACTTTAATGATATATTGCTCATGCATGCCATGGGTATATGTGGAATAACACCCCAAAACGCATTCTCTACTTTTCCCAAGTATGGGGATACCACATGTGAGAGACTTTTTGGCAGCCTAGCTGAATACAGGCCCCCAAAATCCAATGACCACCTCCAGGCTTTCAAAGGCCATTTTCCCTCATATCACTTCCCTACTACTTAGAGTTTCGGAGGCTCTAAAATACCAGGATAGTACAAACACCCCTCCCCCCCCAAATTAGCCCTTTTTGGAAAGTAGACACCCCAAGGAATTTGATAGGAGGCATGGTGAGCATTTTACAGATATCATTTTTGGGTTTTGAAAAAGAAAATATAAATTTTTGCTTTCATTCCTCGTTTTCCAAAAACATGTGGCAACAGATGAGATCTGCAAAACACTCACCATGCCTCTTAGCAAATACCTTGGAGTGTCTACTTTACAAAAAGGGGTAATTCGGAGGCGTTGCTTCTACTATTCCTGGCATTTCAGGGCCACCATTAGAAGCTTATGCCACACATCACCCACTCTTGAAGCGTTTTCTTACACTTTTTGTTCACATCTTAAAACTGTTTTTTTCTAGAAAATTACTTTGAACCCCCAAACATTATATATTTTTTTAAAGCAGAGGCCCTAGAGAATAAAACAGTGGATGTTGAAATTTTTTTACATCACACAGTATTTGCGCAGCAATTTTTCAAATGCAAATCTTTCAAGAAAAATACACTTTTTAGAATTTTAATGCACAAAAATACAATATATTGCCCAACTGTTTGATAAAATATAAAAGATGATGTTACACCAAGTAAATAGATACCAAACATGACATGCTTTATAGTTGTGCATGCTCATGCAATGGCGACAAAGTACATACATTTTTATTATCGATAGGCGACATTTTAAAAGCCTTTACAGGTCACCAGTTTACATTTGCAAAGGAGGTCTAGTGCTAGAATTACTGCCCTCAATCTGCTGTTCATATGCATGATGCAACTGCTGTTTACATACCGGCACAGGGTTCAATGCTTGCGCATGCAGGTTGCTGCGCACAGGAAGGCAAGGGTGCTTTTTTTTTTTTCTTTTTAGTTATTTGGATTTTTTTTTTAATTATTTTTACACGGCCCCTATTTTTGTTTTTACATCACTTTTATTGCTATCACAGGGAATGTAAATATCCCATGTGACTGTAATAGGCATTGACAGGTATTCTTTTTTGATAAATATGGGGTCTATTAGACTCTAGATATCTCCTCTGCCCTTACATTATCTAATCTCACCAAGATCGGTGTGATCAGATGCTTTCCCAATTTACAAATGGCGATGTTTATATCCTGCGAAACTGAAGTGATGAAATGGTCATAGCTTCCGGTCTCTTAGACCATAGAGATGATTGGAGCCAATCTGGTCTCTGATCAGCTCTATGGTCAGCCAGCAGAACTGCTAGCTGCATTCTTGGATTCCCCTGTGGGACAGGAGAGCCAAAGAAAACTGTGGAAGGCAGCAGGAGCTAATTTGCCATTAGGATTGCTTTTACATGAAAGCCGACTGCCAGCTGAAAAAAACAAAACCAAGATGATGCCTGTAGCTGCAGGCAGCAGTACTGCCAGCTACATGCTGTTTTTCAAATGTTTCCACAGAAGTGTAAACCAACATGGCCACTGGTAGCTTAGAGGTTAGGGGTAGTAAAACTACAGCTCAAATGCATATTTTTACCACCCCCCAGAGTGGCCCATATAAACAAGGAAATGGATGAAATTGAAAAAAAAAAGGGATACAAGTTTTTTTTTAATTAAAAAAAAAAAAACATGGCAACTGTTTAGGATACACAATGCCTTAGCAACCTAAATGTCACCCAGTTAGGTTTTAGATCTAAAATAGAATATATAACATATTCAAAGCTTTTTATTATAACCATATGCCTAAGTTCAGCTTAAAAAGAAATGAATAAAAAAGTGCTAATTGACGTCACTTGTTTAAAAGCAGATACATGTTTTAATCACAAAGCTTACCCACCATCCATAAGGCAGGGTTACATATCCTATAAATGGTTCTTCAAAGCTATGTACAAAATTATAGAGAGACAAATGGCACTGCATCATTCTCCCTGACATTCCCTTGAACCCACCAAAATATGTCTGTTTGCAATTCATGATGGATTACCTTCAGCAGCAACACTAAAAATAATACAGTGCATGCACTGAAATCGAAGAGTTCAATGTGCAGGTTTATTCAGCTCATCAGCATCTTCATATTACCAGTCAGCAGAGGCCTGTTCTGTCCATTATGAACGGAAATGTGGATTTCTATATACAGACTTGTATATAATATGGCTACAATCTCCTCAAGCTATATACAGACTTGTATTACATTCACTGCTATAGTAAATAGACCCCCCTTCTTGCAGAGAGGACAATGTCTTAAGACAGGGCTCTCCACACTACAACCCGCAGGCCACTTTTCCTGCAACTGACACCAATGACGTGGCACTATTCCTTCCACTGACACCAATAATGTCATTTACTCTCACTTACCACCAAGCCTATGGCATTATTTTCTAACACTGATGGCGGGACATTTTCTACTCTCGCAGTCCAA